GCGCTGTTGTTGGGGCGCAGCGGCTCCCCAGCCCCCTGCCGTGGCCATCCTGCACCCCTGGACACCCTTTGGACCATCACTGGGTGGAAGAGGTGGGTCCGTTCCCCATCTTTACCTCTTTCCACTCTTAATTTTTCACTTGAAAGCAAGTGTCCTTGCCTGTTACTTGATTGTGCTTTAATCCTTACGCAGGTTTTAGCCTCTGCAGCTGCTGCTAAATAAATAGTGTCCCCATACCCAGCTGTAGCACATCTGTAAGGGGCCGGTGGCATAGGGAGGGGCAGGACCCCTCCGACATTTCCAGGCTGACCGCATCTCCTTCCCCCTCCTGCCCCGCGCTCTCCCCTTGTGAGCTGCACAAAGCCCCCAGAGCCCCCCAGCCCTCCCTGGGACACCTTCCCCGCTTCATCGCCCTCCCTGGCCTCGCAGCGCCGTCGGAGCCCGTCCCTGTCCCCCCACCCCATGGGTGGGTGCCATCGGCCCCGAGCTGGGCTGGCGCAGCCCACAGGGAGAGGAGAGCGGGGCACAGGGGGACGCCGCAACCCCTTGGGGATGGCGGCACATGGCACGGGTAGGGGCTGGCTGTCACTGCAGGGACATTTCAGCGCCAAGAAAAACCACGGCACAATCGGCCCTCGTCGATACGGTTTTATTTACAGCAGAAGAGACCCCGGCCAGGACGGCTGGCGGCACCGCACCGGTGTGCACGGCGGGGGCACGTTCCTCCAGGAAAAGGCCCCCGTTGCCAACATGCAGCCGAGGCAAAAAGTCCTTGAAAAAAGCAAGACTGTCACTGCAACGCCTCGCCCCAGGGAGGGGGGGGATGTAGCAGAAGCCAATTCTCCTGCGGCAAGTCCACACTGGGGGCTGAGTCTTCCAAAATGTCGTCAGTCCCGCCGTGCACCCACCCCAGCACAGGCAGAGCACCCGCTTTGCTCCCGCAGCACCGTGATTTTTATCGGTAACGCTTCGTGCCAGAGAGGTCCCGGCGGGGTGTCAGGGTTCGGCCGCCTCTTCGGGGGGGGCGTGCTCAGCCCCAGGGCCCCCGTCGCCCCCCCGGCCCCGCCGCCGTGCCCACC